AATACTGGACTTGTTTGCATAGAAGCAGCAGCAGCATTCCTGTAAAACCAAGCAGATCCCTCCCTGCTCTGCTGTTAGAAGGTCTAAGCCCCTTCAATTTTGCAAGACTACTTCTGCTAATGAATCTATCTGGTCTTGGATATCTTGGATAGTACCAGACAGTGTTTGAACATCATCAATCAGCTGATTAGATAATTTGGTATAAGAATGTACTGTTACTCCCAATCCTGTTGTGCCTGTCCCCATGGCCGCCGTGACTCCTAGTCCCACTAATAAAGGGATGAACTTGGCTGGGGAGATGGCTCAGTGGAATAAAGGGATGAACTGGACTGCCCTCTTTGTGCGACCCATAACATAATCTAAACTGGAAAGGGGTATGGGATCATTACCAGAGATGACATCTGTATCAGGAAATACAATTGCCATGACACATAGTCCTGTCCATTTGGTAGGTAAACATGTAAAGGCTAAACTTCCCACACATACAAACACATGTCTCTTTTTTGGGCAAATAAGGCTACTGTAGTTAAATATTTGATTGCAGCTGGTGAAGGTAATAAATCCAACATCAACAGTGAAGCTATCATTGTGGATGCTTCCCTGCACGCAGGAAGACTTCCATAGGAGATAATCACCCCCCGGAGAGGGTGGCTCTAGCTAATGCCTGCCAGTATTAGGAGTAAGCTAGTTGTCGGCCACAGTTTCTAAAATGGCTGTGGTGTATGGAGCCATGGCTCCTTATTGGGCAACTGCCACTGCCATTCTGGAACAGGGGGCCTTGTGGCTTTCCCTTCAAGGCAAAGTCCCTGACCTTTTCAGTTCTGAGGCTGTAAACGGTGGAGACCTGCCTCCTCCTGTGATGCCCTCAGACCATACCCTCCATTCTCAGGTTCCTTTCCAGCAATGGAGATCCTCTCAGCTCCATCTTTGCAGTCTACAGCTTTCTTGGTGCTTTCTTTCTGGCCAAGCTCACAACTTTTTAAATCCTCCTGCTGGGCTCCTTGCTCTTTATTCTCAACATA